TTGACAATGCTTTAGAAGTACTTCCATGTATACATCTAATGCGTTGTCGTTCTTTTATACAGCTATGTAGTATTTCACGGCATGTCTTTGCCATCATTTACTTATCCAGCTCCCTCTGAGGGACAGGTGGGTGTTTAGAGATATTCAGGTCTGACTTTAAGCCCATGCCAGTCTGACTTGGAGCCCTGTTTCAGCCCTCTGCTGTTTGTCACCTGAGGAGCCAGATCAAGAGAGGAGCAAGGGCTCACCTGGGTCTCAGAACAGAGGCAGCAGCAGACTGGGTGCAGAGGGTCAGGGCTCCTGGGCAGAGGGTGCAGGATCTATTAACCCTCCCTGTACCTCTCCACAGAGGCAATCATGCCACGGTAGGTATTGGTGGGCAGCTTGAAGGACTGACCAAGGACCTACAGCAACTGCAGGAGAATGAGCGGCAGCTAGACCACCTGATCCAGGTCTGTACCACTCAACTTCAGCTGCTCTCTGAGGATGCCGACAGCCAACGATATCCTTGACTGTGGAGGGCAGGCCCCACCCAAGTGAGACTAGAGAGACTATCCCAGGCCCTGGGTTCAGGAGAGAGTGAGCTCTGGCTTTACATGCAAGTCCTGGCTCAGCAGGGAGGGCAGAGAACAAGTTACTGACACTGAACAAGTTACTTAATCTCTCTGAGTCTCAGCTTCTTCTCCAAAGGGAGAAACAAGTCCAATTCCAGAATTGCTAGATTAAAACGAGAAAAGCTGGCACCAGCAACAACAAGCACTTAGCACAGTGATTCAGTACATGGTTGTAGCATTAGGATTAGAGATACAAATTTTTATCATTCATAAAAATAGAAACTTTATTTTAAAATAAGCTTTTTTTTTCTAAGTGAATACCCAAATTATGTTTATAAATTTTGGAGACAACCACTAATTGACAACATGATCGTGAGTCAGAATAAATTCTTCACACCAGAATGGACTCATCACACAGATGTGGAAATTGAGGCTCAGGGCCATGAGAGGCTTGAGCACAAACTGTGTGTCAGGTGAAGGATAGAGAGGACAGGAGTGACTATGCAAGTGTGGGTGCTACCTTAGCTGTCTGAGTGGGTGGCCCCCAGAGGTCAAAGGTTATGTGGTTCTTGACTCCACCAACCCTGGCCTACGTGACTTGCCAAGATCTTCGTAGCATTGCAGACCCCGCAGAGCAGATGGTCATGGTGATCAAGGCCCCTCCTGAGACCCAGCTTCAAGCCATGGACTCCTCAGAGGTGAGATGTGGGATCCCAGGTCCGACCAGGATAGGCTGGGCTGGCATAGTGGTCAACTGAGCCTCAGATTAACCTGCCTGCCACTTCCACCAGGCCTTTCAGATCTCCCTTAAGAGCAAACAAGGCCCCATCGATGTTTTCCTGTGCCCTGAGGAGAGTGCAGGTGGGATCAGCCCTAGGAAGACCCCGTCCCAAGGGGCAGCTTCTGGGGAGGAGGACAGGGCAGCTGACCCTACCCCTACAGTGCCACCATCATCATCTCTCCCCTCAACCCCTGACATGGATCCCAGCCAGCCCCTGCTCAGCCTGGAACAAGGTGGGTGAAGGGTGGGTGGGTGGGTGAAGGGTGGTGGTGGGCAGGCCTAACAGCCCCCTCTGCCCTCCCTGCTGGGGCATCTCCGGCCTGTGATGCTCCCCCATCTCCCCAGAACCTCTGCTTTCCCGGATGGGTGGCCTGCGGGCTGCCATGGATGAAGACCACCTGTCTCCACTGGTGGCAGCCGACTCACTCCTGGAACATGTGCGGGAGGACTTCTCCAGCCTCCTCCCTGAGGAGTTCATCAGCCTGTCTCCTCCGCATGGGGCCCTCGACTACCACTTTGGCCTTGAGGAGGGCGAGGGCATCAGAGACCTCTTCGACTGTGACTTTGGGGACCTCACCCCCCTGGATTTCTGACAGGGCTTATGGGGACCAGGGCCTCCTGAGATGCCCACCCTGTCTCTGCAGTCCTGGAGCCCCCAGCTCCTGGCCATGCTCCCAGCCTGATTGGAAATGTTTAATTTATACCCCTTTCCTCTGTCTCCAGAAGCTTATAGCTCTGGAGTCTGGCTATTGCCAAGAGGCTGAGCAAGCCAGAAAGGGAAGGATTCTGTTTGTGGTGTGTATGTGCATGCACCCAGTACCCAACGTGTGTACACGGGGTGAGTGGTGTATGGGCATGTGTGTGTGCATGTACCGGGGAATGAAGGTGAACACATCTGAGCGTGCATTGAAAACACGCCCCAGTGTGTCCACGTGTGTGCATGAGTCCATGTGTGTGTATGGTGGGGGCTCTAACTGCACTTTTGGTCTCCTTGCTCCAGGGGCCCCACAAGGCCCAGGGTGGCCACCTGCCCCCAGAATCCTGCGTGCTAACCAGGCCAGGTAGTAAGGCCTTGGCCTGTTTGTTTGCAGGACAGCAAGAGCACTTCTGTCGTCTTAAAGGTTTTTCTGACTGAAGCTTTAATGGAGCGTTATTTATTTATCAAGGTCTCTTTGGCAAGTCTGGGGCACCAGCAAAGGGTAGGAGGGTTGTGGGGCTGATGTCCCAACTCCTTATACCCCTGAGGGAGGGCAGGGGTCCCTGAGCTGTTCTTTGCCCCACTCTGAAGGAGTTGAGGCCTCAGCGGTTTTATTTATTGGGAGAGTGAGGGAGGGAGGAAAACTGACTGACTGACAGCCATGGGTGGGTCAAGGGGGTGGTCCCTCCCCAAGGGGTTACTGCAGGGCTCCAGCGGCCCCCCAGGACGGATGTGAGATGGGAGAGGTGAGTGAGGGACCTTCACCGACAGGGTGGGCAGGAGGGGTGGGTAAAGGGCCTACTTCCCTAGCCCAGCTCAAGGGCCCCTCCTGTGGCATTTGAAGTGCCCCCCTCCACTCCACTTCTTGCTCTGCTCCATCCTCCAATGTGCACTTTGATTTGCCTTCCTAACAGCTCTGTTCCCTTCTGCTTTGGTTTTAATAAATGTTTTGATGGTGTTTGGGCCAGGTTCTGGGATTGTGTACTGGGAGCAAATCTGGGGGTGGGAAAGGTCAAGATTGCTGGGAAAATACCCATTCTCTCTCTTTTTCTAAAGTATATTTTTATTGGTTTCAGAGAGGAAGAGAGAGGGAGAAATGAAACATCAATGATGAGAGAGAATCATTGATTGGTTGCCTCCTGCACGCCCTCTACTGGGAATCGAGCCCGCAACCTGGGCATGTGTCCTTGACCGGAATCGAACCCAGGACCCTTCAGTCCACAGGCCAACGCTCTAGCCACTGAGCCAAACCAGCTAGGGCAGCCATTCTCTACTTCCCTTCTCCCTGTCCCTACTTAGTTTCATTTCATTTGAGCCTCACAGCCCCAAGAAAGGTAGGCTTCACCACCACCGTTTTTGTCCTAACTTAAAAACTGATCCAATGGAGCAATAATGGGAACTCCCCTTCTTTCCCCAGCCCCAGAGAAGCTACTCTGCTATGTTTGTGGGCATTTGTAAACATGCAACAAATAATCACAACTGGCCAATTCTGTGTCAGGATCTTTCAGCTTCTGGGGATACAAGTTCCTGCCTCTCACGAGGCTCTCATAATCTGTGGGAGGGGACTCACAAAATCAGGGAGGGCTTCCTGAAAGAGTGCTTGAGATGAGAGCTGTAGTTAACTGAGGAGGAAAACATGAACAGAACAAGCAGAGGGCAGTGTGGGCAAAGGCCCTGGAGCAGGAGGGAGCAGGGCACAGAATCAGGTTTGGCTGGGATGAGGACCCCGGTGGAGAGAAGTTCAGTTGGGCTTTATTCAGGGGACAAGACTCACTGATGAGCCCGGGAGTTGCACGAAGGGGGTTTAGAATGGCAGAGGGGAGGATGGTGTTGAAGGTTGTCCACACAGACCTATTTTACAAAACCTTAGGTGGGCTTTGAGCCAGTCTCTAAGCCAGCGGTTCTCAACCTGTGGGTCGCGACCCCTTTGGCGGTCGAACGACCTTTTCACAGGGGTCACCTAAGACCATCCTGCATATCAGATATTTACATTACGATTCATCACAGTAGCAACATTACAGTTATGAAGTAGCAATGAAAATAATTTTATGGTTGGGTCACAACATGAGGAACTGTATTTAAAGGGCCAGAAGGTTGAGAACCACTGCCTAAGCCCTTTATAGTCTGCATCCTCAATTCTATGGAGTGTCTGCTATTACCTTGATTTTGCAAAGAGGCTACAGATGCTCAGGTGAATTCACTTGGTTTTACCCATAAGGTGTCACAGTACTGTGCTGCAGTTTGCTGACCCTATAATGGTGTGGGACCTACCGTTGGGCATTGCAGCCCCTCACGTTCTGTTCCTGGCTGTGTAGTACTCCCACACTGACAGGTGGAAAAGACCTCCAGCCTGGTTCCTTCGGTGGCCACCCCTCCAGGAACCTCTGGTGGCAGAACCTCCAAGGTGAATGGTATTAGGCATCTCCATTGTGCTCTTCTAACTTACTAAAGCAGTGGTTCTCAACCTTCCTAATGCTGCGACCCTTTAATACAGTTACTCATGTTGTGGTTACCCCAATTTCATTGAACATAATTAAAGCATAGTGATTAATCACAAAAACAATATGTAATTATATATGTGCTTTCCGATGGTCTTAGGCGACCCCTGTGAAAGGGTCGTTCGACCGCCAAAGGGGTCGCGACCCACAGGTTGAGAACCACTGTACCAAAGGCTAAAGTTTGCTCCCCTTTTCCAGACTGGGAAACGGGGGCCCTGGAGGTGCCTCAGAAGGCTCCCTGGCGGGTGGGGAGGGGCGTTAGTGGGCAGCCCGGGCCGTGGGCGGAGCTGTGGGGTGGGGCCCTG